TCCGATCAAATGCGTATATTGAATCATTATCGTCAATAAGCACCATATATCTAAATTAACATAACTATTAAAGGTAGAAATTGATGAAATAGTAAATCAAGCATTAAACCCCTCTCATTATAATTAATTTATCTTTCTTCTGTATCTATGCTTTTAGAATCACAACACTGGGATAAACTTTAAAAGATACTTATTTACCTGATTCCATCTGCTTTCCAAGATACCATATACTTCCTCTCGGCCAAAAAACGTAAATTATCTCTTTCCATAGATACTGGTTGACTGCCAGGAAAACCATCTCTTTTATAGTTACACATATTCCGAATCTGAATATCCGGTTAAATGACAGACGGACAACAATACAGGCCAGTAATGCAAATCAAAGCATTTTATGTTCACATCTTTTATTTGAACCCTAAGACTGAAAAATAATACGATAGTAGCAGAGAAACAGTTAAGCTCAACAAACCAAGCGAAACAATCAACTAAAATGGCTGGCATAAAGATTTAGAAGAGATTTATAAAAGCGGATATAACCTTATTTTGTAAAATGGTTCTCGTTATGGGATCTGATACGTATTTGACACTAGGTACTGCTCCATCCATAAATTTAGGTTCGTCTGGAAATAACTTATAATTCCAAAAATTTCAAAACAAGGAGATTCAAGTCAATAAATTTCGAAATGTTAATTTTTTGCTGATGGCTACTCCACCACAAGTATGAGCCATGGCAACAATGACTGGATAAAAAAAGAAATAAAACTTGGATTTTGACTTGTCACTTGAAAACACTGCACTCATTATTAAAAACAAGCTGAAAACATAGAAATCAAGCCGGCTAAAAATAAAAATTAAAACAAAAAACACACCAATAAGTTCATCAGTGTTACTTGAGATAGCTTGACCACTAACGACATCGTCAAGTGAAATCCTATCACCATCAACTGGGCCATTTTCCCAGGCAGGACGTGGTGGTGCCTAAAATTGACTTCATTTTTCTCGTCTAATTCTATGTTTATTACTCACTGAATGAATGTTCGGGAAAATACACAAACCAAACTTGAATCACTCGAAAATCCAAAATGAATATCAAGTGAATTTTGCTTTTTCTATAAAAATAATTCTTCACGATCCATGATGCAGAAAAAAGTACTCTATGAACTACTGAAGAAAAAAGATATAAAAAAAAAAAGTTAACATAAACGGCGAGATATGATCAAAGAAAAAAAAAAAAAACCTCAATTCTGTCATCTTCGTCACCGTATCTCTGCATCAGCTCATCCAAATAAAACTGCTTGTAAATGCCATTTGGCCTCATTTGTGCAAACGAATAAATGGCAGCATCGATTGCCCAATCCATAGCACTTGCAAGATATGCTGCTATCAAGAAGCCTGTCCTATTAAATCCGTGAGTGCAATGTACTGCCACTATGTCTTTTGGATTTGCCTGGAATTATACATTAATAACAAGGAATCACATCTAAACAATCAATAAAGCTTTATTTCTTTCCATGTAAAATGTAAGAATGTCTCTCAGGATGACAATATTACTTATGTTTTCAAAGTATATATAGGATAGAGATATAATCTCACTCATCTATAATGGAATTTGGTATATCATAGCCGGCTGAAAATTTGTTTAAAACTGTAAGAAAGCAAATAACTTAAGAAAGACAAAGGTGAAAAACACAGTGAAGCTGGATCATTAACCTGAAGAAATCCGCGTACTATCCGACAAAACTGCTCTGTTTCGGCAACAGTCGGTGCTTCGCCATGACCTTTCATTGGGATCTTTTTATAAATACAATTCCGTTTCTCGACCTAAATAGTAGAAATAAAAATGTAAATGAAAATTTATTCATCTCCTAAAAGCTATAAAACATATTTCGAACAATAAGTTGGTTACAATAGAGCTAGAAATTATAGTAAAGAATAAAAGTTATAACATAAAACTACAAGAAATTATTTTAAAAAAAAATTAAAAAAAATTTCACCTCTTTTTTATTGTAATAACGATTGGTTTTTGTGAGATCAATCCATAACCCAATCCTCGCACCTGGTTCGGCACCTCGAAATTTGTATGCGAAGACATCTCGTGGATGAAACTGCAACTTCTTTTCAATCTGCTCATCATACAGTTTGCAAAGAGGAGTTTTGAAAGGCAAAAAATGTTTTGCAACAATCTGAAATGCTTATGAAATTTATTTATCCACACAGTTCCTCTTCAATATCCAGAAAGTTCGAATTGCATAATGGGTTCTGGAACGTTATTTCAATCCTCCAAATGTTATAAGTAATATAGTAATACACTACATGAAGACAATTTGAATTCTGCTATATCCAAAATGAATCACCGTAAAATCAACATGGAATAAAGTGCAAAAAACGCATACCGAGCCTAGCGGTGGACAATAAAGCCAACGATCCGGAGGGCCAAGATGAGCTTTCTCGATGTCAAGCTTTCCACAGTCTGTGCTACTCAACTCTTCGTCACTTGCCATTCATAACAGATGGAAACCTAACACTGAGTTATATCATAAATGTATACCTGAAATAAGTAAAATCATTACCTTCCGTGCATTTTATAGGCGTACGTAGCTATCACACGTCAATAAGTCTATAAAGCTCGTCCAATCTTCACTGTAACGCAGTTACTAGAACGCATGCTTAATATGCTAAAGAATGCATTATCGAAAGAACTAAGCAAACAGACGTAAGTTTCACGAATTACTTGATGGAATCCACGCAAGTGAATTACCTCGTTCTAGATGACAAGTTGTATCCCTCGTCTCCTTAGGTCTATTTACGTGTGCTAATAAACATGTAATATAAACCACCAGCACTTTAATCCTATCATTTAATTTCATATGCAAAAAAGCAAGTTTTCCGTTGCATGCTCAGAGAGAGAGGGAGAGGGAGAGAGAGAGGGAAAGAGAGGGAGAGACAGAGGGGAGAGAGAGAGAACGAACAGAGAAGCACTCTAACAATCCTTTCCTTGCAATCACTGCCACACGATATTTCATCATTCTTCAACATCTCATGATCACCGCATTCCATATATATTAATGTCTCCTTCCTTCCTATCATTACTGACTTCCTACAATAATCTCTGCTTACTCTATCACCTCCTTCTATCATCATTAAAACACTATTTCATAAAAATCTGCCTAGACTACTCGCAGCCTCTCTCATCGTCTGAATGACTTACAGCAAGGCAAGATTGCGTCTCTCATGCGTGCAACGCATTAGCGAAATGGGACGTCGCTAGGATGTCGCTAGGATGTCGCTGGCTGAGTTCGGTGTCGCATTCAATACAGTGACAACCACTTCATGTTATGGACACTTGCATTTAACACGTAACTGATATGATGTGACGACGTGCAATAAATACAACTGTAACGTGAAATGCGAGGTAATCCACGTCATCTCGCACATACTGTTGAGATCATCACTTATCATCGATTAACAGTGCTATCTCAAATGCATCTGGCAGAGTGCTGTCAACTCATTGGAAGTGTGACTGATGCAAACTTTCATCCCTGTCATTTTTATTGCCCAAATATTCGGGGAAGTCGGATAACGAGGAATGTTGGGCATCTCACTAAGGATTGGGCTACTCCCAGGCATCTCCGAGGGTTGGGCTACTCCCAGGCATCTCCGAGAATACTAACTGAGAGAGGGATGAACAGCCCTCGGTTGCATTAGTCAAAAGACTATTTCACTGCCAACTATTCGATATAAATTGCTCAGTGAGCCATTGACACGGAAGTCCGTCTGGCCGAGTGGTCTAAGGCGTTGCGTTCAGGTCGCAATCTACTCCGGTAGGCGCAGGTTCGAATCCTGCGGCGGACAGCTTAATATTCCGAGTGTTCTTTGCACTCTGTGTGCTCGGTTTTGTATCGAACACATTGTTAAAAGGGGAAAAGCACCTGCTTTTCTGTCTTGGCACTCCAATTTCAAAAGAACTGAGTGGTTCGTACTGCACGTCATCATATTGTCACATTCATGCGACAGGTAGATTGACAGGTAGATTGTTTATCTGAGAGTGACAAAGAGATGAAAAGGCGAGCGAATTAGGTAGAAGAGAAGGAGTGATAAGAAATGGATGAATGATTGTTATCAGTGCAATGTATCCAACCATTCTATCAAATATTTGAATCATTATTTGGAGTGCTATTTACTTTAGCTTACTTACCTGTACTGAAGAAAATAAAATTGTAGCATTAACTTGAAGTTAAAAAAAAAGGAATTCATTTAATTCAGTTAATTTGAATTTCTAGAAGAAATCTATCCCAGAGTTCTCTTCCCGGCAAATTTTGATAAATTATTTGGATGCTATCGATATTTTCAATTGGTAAAAAAAAAAAGCAAAATTAACTGTAATCTGCAAAATTTAAAAATTTTAAAAGTTATAAAATCTGCACTGCAATTATAGCAGCGTCAATTTGAAATCATTCTGTATGAGGAATGATTTCAAATTGATTGAAAAAGAGATGAAAGAGGTATGAGAGAAGGATTTCTTCACAGCGACAGCAGCACATTTCGCTAGGCGGAAAAGGAGAACGGGTTCCTGTGCGAGCGACATCGAGGCATTTGCGCATTTCATTCTTGAACATTGTCGCATTCCTCACCAATATATACCACTTTTTTGTTGACAATTTGATATTTTATTCTGGTCAGAAAATTCTTTACACGTTGAAAATATGGTAAAAGTAACGTTTGTCTTGAATTGAGGATTTGTGAGTTAATTTGCGCTACTCGCTACTCATCTTTAAATATTATCATTACTGTTACAAGAGATATCTGTATACTTCGAAATGAAATTTGAAACTTTTAATGCCCAAATCAGGCCTAGGACTTCTGATATCCAAATCAAGCCTAGGACCTCTAGGATCGATCGAGTCGTAAATCCAAGTTGAAAATAAACGTTGCATTGGTCTTCCATATGTATCATGTCTAATTATTTATGCTAATTAGTAGTGTTTCATCTGTGATCGAAAATGGCAGAAAGCGGTGATCGAGACGAAAAGCATAGTACCCCTCCCCCTCCTCCTCCTCCTCCTTCCTACAAATCGATATATCCGGAAATGCCGGAAAAGGTATCCGATAAGCTTGATAAGATTAATGGCAAACCGGAAATCAGCCGTGTATTTGGCAGTGACATATCACTCATTATCAAGGCTGCAGATTTAGCTGCACGACGTCATCGTCAACAACGTAGAAAAGATGCCATGCAAACGCCATACGTGAACCATCCTATCGGTAAGTGATCTATCTTTACGTGCTCTTAAGGTTTTATTATTACTTTTCATTTTGTCTTTGAGATTATTTATCGTAAGATGCACATTTACCAATCGTTGATTGATTTTTTAATTTCCATTTATTTTATTGATTTAATTAAACTTCCGAAATATTTTCCACTGCTATACTACTATGTCACAGGTGTCGCCTACATCTTGACAAATGAAGGACAAATAACAGATACGGCAACAATCATTGCTGCTATTCTGCATGATATTGTTGAGGACACAAAAACAAGTGATGAAGAAATCCGAGAAATGTTTGGCGATGAGGTAGTACTCGGAGCTGTTTGAAAATGAATATTTCTTGAAATGTTTCTTTCTTTTTTCTTTTTTTTTTCAATTAGTTTTAGAAAAAATGAATGAAAGTATTTACGTGAATTTATATGCAAAAATATCTAGAAAATGTTTTTTTTTTTGTAAAAAAAATTTTTATAATTTAAAAAAAAAATGCTTAAAATCCCAATTAGACAAAAGTTACGTCAATTTAATTCTTTCTCCATTAAGGTAGCAGATATCGTTAAAGAATGCACAGTGATTAAAAGTATGAAACGTGAAGCAAGAATAAAATCTGAACTGGAAAAGGCACCAAAACTGTCACATAAAGTAAGTTTAAATTCTTCGAAATGATTTTGTTTCCTCAATTGCAAATGCTACAAACGCTTTAAGAGAGAATAATATCAATGGAGGTGTAAGGTTGAGAAAGATGTGACTTAGATTTCGTACTTTTCCTCTCTCAATCTGTTATCTTCCAATTATCACTCCTGATTTATGTTCAATGGACTGATAACTTTGATAACACTCAGATGCCAATCACTCGTTGACCTTTATCAGCAGAAGAGACTATTTCAGGCAAAACTTGTACAGTTGGCTGATAAACTGTATAACGTCCGTGACATCGAGCGTTGCGTACCACTCGGCTGGACAAAGCAGCAAGTGAAAGAGTATATTTTATTTGCGAAAGATTTGTTATCAATTATCAGAGGAATACATGGTCCATTGGAAATAGCTTTGGATGATATTATCAACAAAAATATCAAATGACTCACATATATTTAATTTTCGCACTTCATACAATTGTATTAGACGTATTAGACGCAATTTGTGCAACATTATTCATTCAATGTTAATAAACACTGATAAAATTATCATTTTGATCATTTGGAGAGCCAATTTTGATAAATTTCCCAATAGTTTATTATGCTCTCAGATTTGATTCACATAGTTATTAGGTGATATCCGGCATATCTTATTCCATCAGGTTGGAAAATGGTACCGGTACGGAATTGAAATTCAATTCGGTTATAAACTTACCTTCTTGAAATTGTTCATTTCAACAAATTTCTGATATTGTTGATATTATGGGACAGAAATAGCAGACAATCACTTCATTAAATCCAAACAACAAAAAATGTCGACCATATGACATAATTATGCGACAGGTATCGTTGTTATTCTTTGTTTGAAATTAAACTTCAAATTATTTATCACTTAGCACCTTAGCATTAATAGTGCAATTTTCAAGGTTAAAATAGATGTTAAATTGTACTGATAGCACTTTCAGGCGCTGTATGTATTTATTCGTTTGTGTTGTAGACGAATGATCATTACAAGACGATTGGACAGCTCTGATAATTCCGCCAGACTTTATGAATTATAATTACAAATAGGAAAAGGTTGAAAAAATTTTTCGATATTCGATCCTAAAATGTGCAATAATATATTAATGAAAATGAACGATCAATTTACTTAGATATTTGTCTGATATTTTTGGTAATGTCAATAAACAATGCTGAAAATATTAGATAAATTTGTTATATTTCATTTAATTTTTCAATCTGAAACATTTGACATGAAAGATTATTTCATTTCAAATGTGTGAGATACTATTTGATTCTCAAATTGATTTTGAAATTATAAATTAATTTCTTTTTCATCTTTTTCATCTTAAAAATAGTTATTTGACACTAAAATTTACTATTTTATCATCGGAAAGTTGCAATTTAATTCATTCCGTGAAAAGTACTTACACAAAAGTTAAACTTAGCAATGAAGAAATGTCTTTAATGGCATCGCTCTTCCAATTACTCTTTTTTCTTTGATGTCATATTTGTAAACTTTGTTGTCACCAAACAACAGCACTCTCATTCGCCGGATAAGTACACCGGAAAAGTTCACAGTTTCAATTAAGACAACTAACAAATTACTTACTGAATTGCTAATTATACGTATCAAAAAGTTTGTCACAGATTGAATTGTATTACCTCGAATTGGTTCTGCCGGAAAGTTATCGAAATAATTTATCACTTCATTTTGTAATGTGACACGATTCCAGTTCTCGTCATATGTCGCAAAATGATTACCCTCAAATGAAAGTAAGCAGATCATTCTCGTATCATTTTCAGATCATTCTCGTATCATTTTCAGATCATTCTCGTATCATTTTCAGATTATTCTCGTATCATTTTCAGATCATTCTCGTATCATTTTCAGATCATTCTCGTATCATAATTTAGATTTTATTGAAATTAGAATAGATGTAATCGATGCTATAATGCAACTTGAAAATGATTTGTGATAAAAGAATGAAAATAATATAATTTGACTTATTTCACATTTCTTAAGACAATAACAAATTCATATTCTCTTCTCTTTCCTCTCTCTCTCTCTCTCTCTCTCTCTCTCACTTTGCATAATTTCTTCAATAAATTAAATGTTAATTTAATTTAAATTAACATTTAATTTATCGAAGTTCCTTAGCTGAAAAGTCAAATATTTCATTTAAAATTTTCTTCTAAGAAAAAAAAAAAAACAGAAATAAAAATAAATTTAATTAAAAGATTTATACTCTTACATTAATTAAAATCTGTGATCCTTCATGCCATAAAAATGCGCCCATTGGTTTGAAATTTAAAGCAGTTGGCAATTTCTTCGGATAATTTGGTTGTAATACAAATTTCTTTGTACTTTTTTCAAGATTATATACAAAAACCTGCGGAAGACATTTTTTGCTGCTCCATAAAAATTTTTCATTTATAATCAAAATTAGGAAATAATTTGATTATAGTATAAACAGGTAAATGAAAGGTAATTAAAATTAGAAAATGTTATTTGCATCCTTTCATCTAATCTTTGATCTTACATTAAAGTTTGATTGAAATAAGAAAGAAATGAATGTTCATTGTTGAAAATGAACATAATATTAACAATTTAGTTATCATCTAATCACTTGAAATCAAAATTAAAATCAACAAAGTTACTTGGATTTTCAATCTTTGAAATTCAACAAAGGATAATCAAATATTCTAAAGTATTATTACATTTCAAACACTGGAAATGAGATGATTTTATATAAGCTAAATAAATTGATATTAATGTTAGCTCTAACTATTACTAACTATAAATCTTAATTAAAACTTCAACTAAATTAATTTGATTTGTGCAAAAAAGCATTATGCAAAATTTAATTCAAACATGAATATACCATTTTTCCGTGAAATAGAAGCGTCTTATCCGTACGTGAATTCGATAATGCGCCTTGAACGAACGGAGGTCCATTTGGGAAGAGATTCTTCAACAAATATTCTTTTTTAACGCCTGAACGATCAAATTCATATACTTTGTTACCGCTGAACAAATAATTTGAACCATCCGCTGAAATGAATTGTGCATTGTCAATGTTATCTTCTCGTGATATGATATTATCATGGTGATAAGATCATGCAATTATTGAATGATCTCCTCTACTGATAACATCATTTATCACTTTATATCGCACATTGCGAATACTATCAATCAATCATCCTATGAAGGTAAGGCTTACTTGTAATGATACCATCAACTTCATCCGGACAGTTGATATCTATTTTCTTATCACTGTTGAAATCATTGTCATCATTCGATGAATCAGTTCCAAAATTAGAACCATACTCTGAATTACTACCAGTATCAGCATTAGATCATCTAAAAGATCTTCAGTATGATTTTAAAATATATAATTAGTGATTATAGTGATAAGTGATAATAGTGTGACAATCCTTACAGAAAAAAACGAACGATATGTATAGAAAAGAAAACATTTATGTTTATAAAAAAAATCAAAATATTTCATGAAAAGATCTCGTTTTTTCGATCTTTGTTTATAAATGATACTTGTTGTCGTCGTGTTGTTGTTGTTGTTGTTGTTATTGTTGTTGTTATTGTTGTTGTTGTTGTTTGACCTCTTTGATTTGTTTCTTTATCATTTATTCCTGAAAATGAGACAATCAGTTAGTTATTGATTGTCAATCAGTTTATAACATTTAATTTATGCTATAATTATAGTTAAATTATTATTTCTTTTCTCCACGATTTAGTAATAATTTTTGTTCGAAGCAAAATAATTTTTTCACAATTTCAGAAATAAAATTTATTTGATCTGAGTTATTTCACTATAAAATAAATAAATTACCATAAAGATACTGTATGTTTCTAACATCTGATGCAGACAATTTGGGTGTGATGTAATTTCCACGATTGTCAACTGTGTCGCGATAGAATGGTAGCATAATGGAATCAGAATCTGCAGAATGCTCGAGACCTAGCACATGTCCAATTTCATGGATTGCTACTTGTAGTACATCCGTAGTATCATATCTAAAGTAAAAGTTAAGAATAACTTTAAGTTTACATAGTAACTGATAAGTTAACTTATCTTGAACAAATCTATCATATCATCTTTCATTCATTGATTTAATCTCTATTAACAAAAAAATCAAATTTTTAATATTTCAAATTTATTTGCTGAAAAATTTTTTTCAATTTCACATAACAATTACAAGTAATGAAAGGAAAAGAAAAGAAAATTTAATTAATTACAGTAATTCTTATAGGCTAATTATTAAAAGAGAATTTTTTATTAGCTCAGCTACTTTTGATCATTACAATTTGCATCTATTTTTAACCATTTCAATTATTGTATTTAATCTATTCACCTGCTAAACCACTGCTAATTAATTAGTTAATTAATTAATTAAATGAATATGCTCTTCAATTCACTTTAGAAATATATTTTAACACTTTGCATCTTCAACTAAAATCAATGAATCAAGCAACTGAATATTTGGAAATTATTAGTGTACACCTTGAAATGGCATCTGAATTCATATACACCCATTTCTCGTCTGAATCAAAATGAAGAATACCGGAAGATGGCAGTGTCGCATGTGCTAGTATACCACCTGCAAAGATAATTTCAGGTTTCTTTTTTTGGATCATTTTTTTTCGTATTCAGAATTTAGCTACAAAGGGACGTATTAGGTATATTAGCATTTGACACTTTATTGGCATTCATTGATTTTTACGATAGACTTGCAATTAGCATTCCTTGAAGATTGCTTTCAACTGGAAAATTGATTGAATACGAAATTTCAACTTCATTAAATTTCAGAAATGCAAAAAATTCTATTTCTCTTTTGAAAAATTAAACTTTGACCTTCTCCATCAAAAGGCCATGGGTCATTGTGCATACGTCTTGCAAACGCAATTGTTATGTCAGCCTTTTCGGATATTTCATTTAACGTTATACGTGTCACGGCTGACCACGTATCAAACGCCTTTTTGAGTGCATCTCTGAAAATTCTATTTCTTTAATTTAATGCAAAGTTAATTTCATATTTTAAAGAAAATCAGAAAATGTGAATTGAATAAAAACTTAATAAATATTAGTAAGTAAAGTGTGATTGATTCTTTAATTCCTAATCATAACATTTCTCATTCCAACAAATTAGTAATACCTCACTTCACTCTCAGATAGTTCGCTTGTTAATGATTCGATTGAATAGGTTAGATCACTCTTCTCCCATTTATACTTACCTGTAAAATTTATATAAATCTGTCATTGATTAAAATTTCCCTTTGTAATGAAACAACGAAGTGATCTGATCACAAAAATCGATAATCATAAATTTCAATTTCAAAAATGGTTGATAGACCTTTTTGTCGTAATGCTATGACATCTGGGCGACCACAGCGCTTTTGCTGCATTTTCTCCATAGTTGCTGCATCTAATTTGCCGGTTGGTTTTAAACCCGCAAATTTTTGAAATTTTCTGAATTGAAATTTAGTTGACTTAAATTTAATTTAATTTTTTAGACAGAAGATTTTAGTTGTGAATTATTTTCATTTCAAGAAAGAAAATAACACAAAAAAAAAAGAAATTTGTTACTTAAGTGCATCGCTAATAGTTACTGAATTGTGCCGTAAAATGACTTCGCTGGATGGTACATTCGGCAGAGTTAGTGAGATAATCTCTTTCATATATCCGTAATTGCTAAGATATTGCTACAAATTCATTATAATTAAGAAAAATTTCAATATTTTTTATACAAAATTTCTGTCCTTTAAAAGAAAAAATGAAAAAGTAATGCAAAGTTTTTTAAAAGTCAATTTTAAAGTTCAAAACTTTCGAGAATAATATCTAAGAGAGCAAAACTCTCTCTCCCTCTCTCTCTCTCTTTCTGAGCAAGAAAAAAAAGAAGCTCTAAGCATCCTTAAAAATAAATTACTTTCTATAGAATATTAGGATGAACAAATTTGCATATTTTTGGTATTTTGGTATGAGTAAAACCTGAAATTAGCAATGCTGAGGTACCAAATAATATTAATAAAATTGTCTTTAATGGCTGTAATTAATTAACTAACAGCGGCTTTTTCCACGGATATTTCATTGATTTGTTTCGTAGATACGTCACAAAACGTGAAAAGTGAAACTGATGAGAGAAATATCAAAATTATTGGTAACATTTTGAAAAGCGATCAAATTTCTGGAAGAAAAAGTGAAATTGATTTTTGAAAAATATATTTATTATAATTCTGACAGATGGAAAAATGGAATTTTCACCAAATTAAAAAAGTGTGAGCGTTTTGTATTTGCGACAAATACAAGAATTTATCATTTTGACGTAAATAATTTTCCGTAAACTTTGTTATATTCCATTAAGCAATAAAATGAAAACATCCATATTTAGCTGAAAAAGTTATTTGTTTTTTCCGTTTTCTGCAAACTTTACGCATTTCGAAGTTATATTTTCAATAAATTTGGATGATTATTTGACTGATTAATCATCGAAGTAATTACCTATGTAATAAAAGAAAAAAAATAGAACATTTGGCACAGAAGAACTTAGGACTGCAAAATCCTTTGTAATCGTTTCTTCTCTCTCTGTGTGTGTCAGTGTAAAGTATTGATGGTTAAGTACTGGTGCTAACCAATAAGTAAAGTGTAAAAAAGTTAAAGTAAACATAAGTTAAGTTAGTAATATTAAAATCTTAAGTAATACTTTAAAATAAACACTGCCACTAAGGAAAAGAAATAAATACTTGTTTACTTGATTTTGCCCATTTTAGAAGAATCATAATTCTTGGACGAATCGTAGTTTTGAATAAATTTCAAAAATTCCTTCCACAAAATTTGAAAATTCCTTTTCAACTTTAAATCAACTGACTAGTTATTTCTAAAAGTTACGAACTGAATAATATTTTGCATCATTTATACTAATTTGATGGTATATTAATCAGCACACTTCATGAGAGGCGCAAATATTCAGGCGCAGTTTTGCACATAATCGATCGAATGATTTCGCTGCATTTAAAAGAAAAATGTTAAATAAATGGTAAAGAAATGATATTGAAAAAGTTTAAAAGTAGGAATGTAAAAGGGAAAAATGTCAAAAAATAATTGAATGTTATTTAATTACTTAATTTTTAACAAAGAATGATTAATGCGCATTGGTCTGATCACATCACAGTAAGAAGATGAGTTCATCATTTAATAGGAATTCAAATGAAATTGTAAGTTCCAAATTTTTAGATTTAAATTTTCAATAATTCATTTTTTTAATGTAAACTTTAACATTTATAATCTCTAAGATTTAAAAGAAGATCAAACCACCAAAGGCAAAGGTATGTCATTACTATTTGTTAATATTACTTTCTTTTATCGATCATTTCTGATTGTCACCAAAAATTCGAATTTTAAATTAGCTAAACGAATTGTGAAATTCGAAATTATCAGAAATTCATCGCATTATAATAAATATTGCAAAAAAAAGCAATGCACAAATACCTGTAAAAACCTTTTAAGAAGTTTTTAAAAAATTGTTTTGTGAATGAGTCATTGGAATTTTGTGGAAAATGAGAGAAAAAAAATTAATGATCTATCTACTTGGTCTACACAAGGTCATTAATCGATCGATTGAACAAATTTAACTTTTTAACTAAATGAAATTAAATTTTTTCTTTTTTACTTTTGTCACAAATTCCTACGAACCATTAAGCATTGCCTTCAGTCTCTGTACTACCCGTTAATTAATGTGATTTCGAATATTTAAATAATTATTTAAAAGATCAAAGAATGAAAAAGGAATACGACGACAATGTCAAAATTTTTTTTTCTTTTAAAAAATATATTTACAAATATCAATTATTATAATGAAATATTTGCACAAAACGTGGCACAGCTAATGAATTAATAACTCATTTTCCTTTCTTGTTGTTTAAGTATTACTCTTTACTTACGTGTAACTTACGTGTATACTCAGCTAGTTGAGCAGAGTTAAAGTTTAGTCAGTTATTATCGATGTTTTCTTAATTCATTGTAATTGAAATAATGCACAGCGAATATTGAATTAAACTTACTTTTCAATTTAACATACTTTATTTTAACAAAAATGAATGAATCATTTTAAACTGAAATCTTTTTAAGCAAAATTAGACAGATTAATGAATAAAATATTCAAATTAAATTTTTGATGGTTTGAAATTTTTTAAAATTAATATGAAAGATATTGAATGTGAAAATATTGAATGCTTTTCTTATTTTTTATGATAATAAAATACAATGAAAATTTAATCAAACATTTATTATCAGAAAATAAACGAACAATTAAATTTAAAAAAAGAAAAAAAAAAAGCAAAAAACAAATAAAGATGAAAAATTAAAAAAAATTCGTTTTTGAAAATTCGTTGTAATAATTTTTATTTCGTATTATAAGAGAATTACTCTGTGCATAAAAATGTTACTTTATTAAATTAATTGTCAAGAAATAAACATTAATTCAATTATACTAAAAAGGAAGATATGGAGAGAGAGAGAGAGAGAGGGAGAGAGAGGGAGAGAGAGAGAGAGGGAGAGAGAGAGTGGCATATTTAAACTTATCGAAAAGCTTGACGAAACACTAAACACGTAATGTTGTGTTGTTGAACTTCGCAGTACAAATCTGAATTTATCAAATAATTGAATGGTTTAGTGGAACAGATTGTGTCAATGAAACCACTGAACTTTTTACGCATTGCTAATTGAATTTGTCGTTTTGCTGTCGATGGATTTGAGTGAATGTTCTGAAATTTTGAAATGAAATGAAATGATTAAATATTTTGTGAAAGGGTAAAATTCTATCCGTTATGCAATTAATGCTTAATTAATTATTTGATCTAAGCAAATTAATTAATTTAATTAAGTGTTAGACTTGAACCGTAAATTAGAATTCACTTTTAACAGTCCATCATCTACTATATTTTAATTTCCAGTTATTAATTTATTTCTGAAGTTTTCTCGATATCGTTATTATTTAATGTATTATTTGAAAAATTTTATCGGATGATGATAAATTGGTAGATTTTCTTATGGTACAATATGATTTATTGATTTTATTTGTGATAAAATTTATTTTGATTAAGCGTTAAATAAATTTTAAATGCAGCAAAACAAGAAAATTTCAATCCTTTAACAAAATTTAAGTATAATTAAAAACTTATTTAAAGACATAGCTGTTTCACCGCAAATTCTTAATTTCATAGTTTCATCTTTCATCTAAACAAATCAAAAAGTAAACTTAATCTGTTGAAAATTTGATTCTACAAATAAATTATTTTTTTTTAAATTATAATTATGAAGAAAACAAATTGTTGATTCATTTCACCAATACTTTTTCTCAGTTCTTTGAAGCTTTAAAATTCGATAATAATTAATTTCCAATTTATTACTTATTTTTGATAAAATTAAAACTATTACACTGATAAATTGAAATATAATCGATTATACTGTAAAATTATATGCATTGAATTCTTCTATGCCATCTGCAAGCTTTTATGTTCAGAAGAAACAGTTCTGCTTTTAAAGAGATTAAATTAAATTTAAAATTGTCAACAAGAATTAACCTGCATGATCACTTTGCGCATAGTAAGGTCATTGCATTCAGTGTTGTTGAGGGATGGAGAAAAGCGCGTAATATTTTCTTGTTTATTCTTTGCTACTTCAATTCAATAAAATAATTCAAATGAAAGTTAGCTTAATTAAACTTTCAAAAGTTACAAAATTTTTTTTAGAGTAAATTTTTAAAATTTTTAAAATTTTTTAGCAAATGAATAAGTTAAGTTGGTGCAATTAAATGGTCATTGCAATAAATTAACTGTTAGGTTAATTTTAAAAGTACTTAAAAAGTTTACTTTTGGACTGTTAAATAGTAGTAGAAATTGAAAAGGTAATTAGTGCATACCTTCAGAAATGTTTGTATTAATTGATGAAATGGGGTGACTGTCATTTGCTTTGCTCTGTAAATTTCATTTGATTTCATTTCAGATGACAAAAGTATTTTATATAATGAAGAAAGTTAACTTTGACTTTATAATAAACAATGAAACGCTGATGATATGCTAACAGTTGTTTTTAGCACGGTGAACTCTGACCTTTGCTGATAGATGTAAAATGATTGTTACGTACGTGAATGAGAAAACTAAAAAAAAAAAACTTACTGAAAAGCATAAATCAAACTTACATAATTTTTTTTGGGGAATGATTCATGTTTAGGTATAATTATTGATGACATGGTGGATGTGCTTTGTTCGTTTCGTTTGTCATCTGTAATGGTAGCCTAGAAAAGATAAAGTTATAATAATATCAAACTTTTTGATGAAAGTATTTGTTAGCTATGAATTGACAATAAGTTATTACTTTTCCTTAAAAGTATTATTTTAGAGATTTACTCATAGTAATGTTTAATATCTATGACGAAAAGCTAAGTTATTCATAGTTATTTATCAAAAATTAGAAAAAAAAGATTTGAATTTCACAGCAAATACAACAATTAAATTTTCTTTTCGTTTGCTTTTGAAATAATTTTATTTATTTCTTAGAAACTTTTTTTTTAAAAAAAGTTTTGACAAATAAGCGACTAAGTTATTATGCAAAATGGTTTAACAGTTGTGAAAAGAATTTTGAAAAGGGAAGAAAAATGCGACAAAGAATGAAACTTAAAAATGAATAAATGGAAGTGACTAGAACAAAGAGACTTACCTGGTTTGTGTAATTAGCAAGGTAGATCGAGTAAATAATAAAAATTATCTCTTTGCTATATTTCATCAATGCTTCTTCAATGATATTATTATTATTATTATTTACTTAAGTAACTAAATGAATATAAGTAATGCATTTTGTTTGAGTAATGATAAGAATGTCGCATTGTGATAGTGATAATATCAATTTGATAATAGCAATTTGCTTTAAAGTTTTTTTTTTTTTTGATAATGAAAATATGTTAAATTGAAATTTGTAATTTTTATCCAAAAAGTATAATAAGAAAAGAAAATGAAACAAAATATTCAAACAAAATTTACGTTTCAGTCTTTTTTTTTTTTTTTTTTGAATTCTAAGTTAAAATTGCGACAAAATAAATAAAATCAAACGAAAGGAATGAAAAAATAAAAAATGTTTCTAACTAGCATTCGTTTAAAATAATACAATAATAAATACTTTTGAAAAGTTATATTTTTCTTTAAATTTAATTTTCATTTTTTTAAATTAACAAAAAAAAAAAAAAAAAAAGAAAGAAAATTGAAGGAATCATCCAAAAAAGGATATTTCGACAAATGCACTCGTTCATCCTTTTGATAAAATTTTACGATTTTGATTTGATTTTGTCCACTCATTGCTTTTACTATTCGCTGTCAAACGAAACAAACATAATTTCATTTTTTTTTTTTCTCCAATTTTCTTCCTTTCATGAAAATTTCAAATTTTTTTTTTTTGTTTTGTTTTTTAGAAGTGCATTTTACATGCTGCGATCGCTCTAATTAATTATTATCTTTCTTTGATATTATTTTATTGTTTCTCAACAAAATTTTTACTTTGATGCATTTTCTGAGGTTTTCAGGTTGAGGCTAAAACTTTAAGAAGAAATTTATCATTAATTTTAAATTAGAAGAAAAAGCAACAAAATAAGATATGAAAGCAACTCATAATTATAAATTCCCACCTGATTATTATTTATTATTTTACATTTTGTTCACAGAAAAGTTAAAAAGTTAAATTAAATCGTTGCTATAAAATTAGAAGTCTAATTATAGAACAATCTTTTTTTGATAAATTATCAAAATATCAAGTTTATCAATTGTTATCAGCGGAAACCACTCATTTCTCTAAGTTTATATTAAATGTTTGTTTAAATGTTTCAAAATTATTTAATCACTTGCGTACCAAATTACTAACCAATTAAATTAGAAATGAAAAATGAAAACAAGATTACCTAAAAAATCTAGTAACGAACAAGGAAAAGTAATTATATATATTAGTTCCAAAATTAATTAAAAGTGTGTAATTCTAAAAATCCTTTAAAAAAATAAATTCAAAACATAGTTGTACAATTTTTTATGTTTTATGGTTATATCAAAATTATAAGAATAAGATTTTTTGTGTTGATTTTAATTTAAATTATTTTGAAAAATTAGTAATTTATTATTTTGGTGCAATTTAGTAGTGCAATTGAAGTAACAAAAAAAATAAGAAGCAAAATTACGATCATAAATTTAGTATTTATTTTTAATAAATCTTTTCTAGATGCTAAAATAAAAAGGTAATACCAATTCAACGATTGTTAATTTCCGATTGTGTTTTTTTCCGGAATACTGGATTGTTTTAGATAATTTATAAACTTTTATGGATTTATGGATGATGCATAGCTCCATTAGAGCTCATTTGAATTTTTTGTTTGATTAAATCTAAATGTTTGTTAAAATGGAATAATCATAATTTCATTTCATTTGATTGTATTACAGATAGTTTATTGATAGAGAAAAATGAAATAAAATTATTAATTGCTGGAAAGAGTAATTGAATTTAGTTAAATTTATAATTAAATTGAAAAAGCCATTCGAATAGAATTAGAAATCAATGAAAGGAATACTTTAGCTTTTTCGCACATTTCTGTTCTACTGCATAAGTAAGTGATCTCGAAATTATTCTAAAATATGTTTACAATACTAACTGATTCCGATTATTGTTGATGTCACCTCTTCACGGCAATAGCCTTTGATGTGACAAATCTGCATTACTCCGATCGAGATCAACCTTTGATGTGACAAATCCCCATTATTCCGATCGAGATCAACCTTTGATGTGACAAATCCCCATTATTCCGATCGAGATCAACCTTTGATGTGACAAATCCCCATTATTCAGATCGAGATCAACCTTTGATGTGACAAATCCCCATTATTCCGATCGAGATCAACCTTTGATGTGACAAATCCCCATTATTCCGATCGAGATCAACCTTTGATGTGACAAATCTGCATTATTCCTATAAAAAATATGCTATTTCAAGCTTAAATTGGCGGGGCTGGTAGCGATTTTGCCTTAGTATTGTTAATTTCAAAAATTGTTTTAGGTTGACAGTGATCAGTTAAGGCTTCAGGCCTTCTTCATCTGTTGAATCCTTCATTACCTGTCATTCATCAATTGAAATTCCATCGGAATGTCACCATTCTATTTATTTGTTCATATTTCAGTATTTGACCATATCTGACCTCTAAATCTGACCTTTGGGATTGTTTATTTTTTGATCGATTAATTAGTGCCATCAGAAGCTAAATGGTTTGTTATTACTATTCTCATTTCATTGGTAATACTTTCATTATTATAATATTAATACAAACTTGTTTTCAATTTATTGGAAGTCAGTTGTTTTTTCATTTTTTAAATTCCTTTCATCATCGTTTGTAATTTAAAGAGATAATAATTTATAGCCAACTTCAATCGATAATTTAAAAAGTTTATGTTTGTTTAGAAAGGATTTTATCAAATTTTGTTTACTGTATGAGATATTTACATTATTATTTACATGGGAATGTCTATGGATTCTCAAAAATTTGTCAAATTTTTATTCACTCAGATTGAAAAGATTGACAAAATGTATTGAATGATTGAAATATACAATGAAATATTTCACAGAATAATACTTTAATTTCAGAATAAGCAAATAATAAAAAAAAAAGATGAAAGAAAGGAAGTGCTTAAGACACTCATTAATTAATTAATTAATTAATAGTTCTGCATGGCATCTTTGTTACATTTGCACTTTAAAATTTATTGTGCTTGCAAATTGTTCGAACGACACAAAGGAAATGAGAGAGAGAGAGAGGGAAAGAGAGGGAGAGAGAGAGAGAGAGAAAAGTTAATTTCATCTTCCTCCTCCAACACGTACCATTCCTTTCGTTATTGTATTCCTCTTTTGCATCTGTTGAGTGGGTGTCTGAAATTTTCATAATTTGAAGAAAATAATGGACAACTTTTCCGGTTACGAAGAAAACCGGAAAAATAATATGAACGAATGTTCTGCAATGAATTGAATATGAATTTCGAGAAATGCTGTCTTTTATATAATCAAATTTAAATAAACTAAAAAATTGTTTTTTTTTTTAATTTAATTCGAGAAATATGAAAAAAGAAAAATATCTAAAAAGATTGTGACAAAAGAGTAGAGAGAGAGAGAGAGAGGGAGAGGGAGAGACATCAAAAAATGTTTTAAGAAAAAAATTGAAATTTATTTTTGGTGCCATTAAACATTAATTTATTTCAGTTAGTGAAACAATGAATGACTGCAAAATGTCAAAGGTTAGATGTCAAAGGTTAAAACTTGCTAACTTCTTTTGTCGTTGTCTTCTGTTCCATCACTGTTTCATTCTGCTCTACAACAGCTGAAAATTTATTCAACAAATGCATTAATTTATGACAGTTTGAAAAGAAATCTGAAAATTTTTGGATTTTCTCGTATTTCACGCAACTTACGTCTGTATTCAGGCGGTGGCGGTGGCCACTGACGTTGATTTGGCTTCACAGGTAATCGTGTTTGAAGAATGTCAACATCCTGTTGAATTTGCTGTTCAAATTCTGGTGGTGGCCATTGAACGGTTTTTAATCGAGAACCTAAAATTTTTTTTCTTTTTAATTTTGCGAAATATATTTTTCAGATATTTTTCCTGAAAATGTCAAAGTTTAAATAAAGATTGGACCAAATTTGAAGGAATCATCAACGTATCGGAACAAAGTAAACGGAAAGGAATTTCACATCAGGAAGTCATCCGAAAATCAATATTTATTTACGATATTAAAAAATATTTAATATTATTTATCAAAAAAAAGAAAAAAAAAAGAAATGTTATGAACGCTTATATTAGTTTCAATTATTTTGAATTTAAAGACGAAAATTAATAAATTGATGGCCTACCTACAGATCTGTCTATACGAACTTCATTTTCAGGTGGTGGCCAAACTCTTTGTAAATTATGCGGAACTGTTTTACTCCAAGCTGTTCCGGTTTCAGTTTCCATTTTCGTCTGAAATTGCTACAAAAAAAACTCTTCTTTTTTAAGGTGAATTCTTAATTGGAATTAGTTATCACTCGAAATTATTGCTTACATCACGTCTCCAAGCCGTATCTTCAGCTGCTTTAGTTACTGTCACTTCTTGTCTGTAAAAATAAAATCATTTCAAGTTGTCTTTCTTCACAATAATAAATGTTAATATTATTTAAGGTTAACTTTACTTAAATTTCCGGCATTAAAATCTGAATTCGATTTATTCTTCCGACATTAAAATCTAAACTCAAATGATTCTTCCGACATCAAAATTTGAACTCAAAATGATTCTATCACAGTAATCAAATGCCTTTCTTGTGTACCATTTCTGTTGAATGTATTTAGAAGATAGAATGTAAAGGTTAAAGAAAATAAATTTCGATGCACTGATAAGAATGATCAAATGATTGAACTGATTAGCATATGGCCAATGATATTAGATGACCAAATGTCCTAGGGTCTAATTCACATAAATTTGGACTTCTAAATAAAAGTACAAAAAATAATAACTGAGAAAAATGTACGAACCGTGGTGCGATATTTTCATTTTGTGGCGGAGGCCAAATGTGCCCAATACGACCAGGCTGATATGCGCTTCTGACCGATTGTGCACCAATAATTTCATTCTATGAATTTTGAAAAATTTCAAGATTTAATCAAAAAATTCATCCTTTCCTCAATGACATACTTCTTCTGAAGGTATGCGCTCTTCTTACAGTACTGTGTCTAGAAAATTAGAAGTAATTAACGGAACATCCATTCCATACAAAATCCAGAAACCTGATTGTCCGGATGCCATTCACCGGTTTTAACCCTCGGAACATCTATCATTTCTTTTGCTTCTTCCTGCGGGAATTCATTCCATTCTACCCGAGTTGTTTGCACTGGCCGTGGAACAATCACTGTTGGCTAAAATATTCTTTCAAATTAGAAATACTTTCTTCAAAATTAATTGATATTCACTCTCATACAATTTCTGTTTTCTCATTTATTTTTTTCTAAGTCAAAGTTTCGACCGTTTTTAATTTTATTTAAAAAAAAAAAAAATTCTCTGCTAACAAAGAATATATCCTTCGATAGTTGCTAAATTGAAATTTAATCTTGCAAAAAGAGTAACTCAGAGATATACTTTACAAATGAATAAATCAATCAGCTGTTCATAACCTTCAAATATCTTCGATTTTCGTAAATTTAATTCTCATTGGTTTAAATTTTAAAATTTCTTTTTCACCTTCACTTCAACACTTCCGTGTAAATCCGGTATGGTGATTTTTGCTGGTTGAGGAGCTTGAATTTCAACGGGTATTCGATTTTGTGTTACCCATGATTGATCATCCTGAAATTTATGCTAAAATCCATGATCAAATTAAAATTTTTTCTTTCTAATTTTATTTAATTAAAATAAATTTAAGTTATTGTAGAAAATTAATTTTCATTTGAATTGCTTCTTTTGCAATTTCTATTAGCTTTACATTTGCAAGAAAACTGAATTTAAACATAAGAATATTTACTTTTTCATTGATACAATGAACATATTTACAAAGATTCCTTCACAGTCTACGCTCTCTTATTGTACTCGTAATATTTGCATAACATTAAGGTACGCATTTCGTATAAATTTAAATATTAAAAATATTATATCAAATAACTGGTATAGTATGATATTACTTACGCAAGTAACTATATAGTAAGTAACTACTTATTTTTTCTCAGAATGATAGTTGCAATTAGCCTTAACTTGATGAGTAAGAGTAAAAGTAAAAGAGAGTTACCTGAGTATGTATTGGCTTCACTTCTTGTTGCGGTAATGCCTCTGCAGGCTTGATGATACTGCTGAGGTAAGCTTGCTGTACATCACCGCCCCGCATCACTTCAACCCTCTCTCCAGTGTTTGGAATTAATTGCGCCACCGATGTCTGCTGCTGAGCAGGTGTTGCAGATATTTGTTGCTGCATGCTCCCTCCACCTCGTTGTGCAGCTAATCTATGACCTGATGGACCACCTTTAACTGCTGCTGAAGGCGCAGTTTGACTTGCTAATGGCGCTTGTGCAGGTTTTGCAGGTACTGCTGGACCTTTTTTTTGCTGTTGTTGTTGAGGTATTTGTTGCACCTGTTTTGTTGGTGCCTGATATTTTGATGCTTGCACTTGGGGCTGTTTTGTTATCATTTGAGGCTGTGGCTGATTAATTTGTTGCTTCTTCTGCTGTGGAACATTTGATGGCTGATTCTGGGCTTGAATTTGAGCTTGTTGAGCCTGTTTAGCAGCTATTGTCTTTGCCTGTTGCTGGGCACGCAGTTGCTCTGCACGTTCACGTTCCGCTTGTCGTAAAGCTTCTTGCTCAGCTTTTTTCTTGGCTTCAGCTTGGGCTTGCTTAGCCTTTGCCTCAGCTTGAGCTTGCCTAGCTTTTGCTTCAGCTTCAGCTTGCCTGGCCTTTGCTTCAGCTTGGGCTTGCCTAGCTTTTGCTTCAGCTTCAGCTTGCCTGGCCTTTGCTTCAGCTTCGGCTTGCTTGGCCTTTGCCTCAGCTTGAGCTTGCTGAACACGCATCTGAGCCTCACGTTGGGCACGTTCTTGCGCTTCCTTTATAGCTTGCTGCTGAGCCAAGTGAGCTCGTTGAAGCGCTTCTTGTTGTGCTTTCTCCATTGCTTCTTTCTGCTCAGCAATAAGTTTTGCCTGACGTAATTCAGCTTGCGTACGGGTTTCTGCTTCCTTTGCCGCAGCCTCTGCCGGATCCAGTTTGACCCGTGGTTGTCCTTGTGATGTAATCACTTTTGTCTCTGTTGTCGTTGCTTCATGAACTAAAAATTTGAAAATGAATTTCTTTCATAGGTCAGCAAAATATTCCGGAAGCGCAATGCTCCACAGGTAAAGACGGTGAATGAGAGAATTTAATAAATTTTAAAAAGTGATTCAAAGAGCAGATAAAAATCTCCTGAATTAATAAATGAAACCTATTTTAGTCTGCTGACCATCAGCGCCACTCATCATTTGTGTCGTAGTCTGACTCACGTTTGGTGTCACGCCGGTAACCATCTTGAAACCAGTACTCTTACGTAAATTAATCGGTGCTTCGTCCTCCTCTTCCTCCTCCTCCTCCTCTTCCTCTTCCTCTTCCTTGATATTATGTGGCATTTTCTGAGCTGTAATAATCAATAGAACAGTTTTAATTAGACTAATTCACAAAAAATATACTGTGCACTCCTAAAATTAATTAATTAAAGGATACATTACGGTTGAATAATAACCTACGTTATCAGTGAATCAAATAAAGAATTAATTTCACAAAAAAATTGCTTCAAATAGGTATTTATTTCATCGGTATATACAATTTAAGACTGAAAAATATTGATATCATAAATATGAAACTTAAATTGAAATTAAATTAAATTTAAATTCTACAAGATATATTTCCAATCATTTCGCGTATTTTATCGCAGCAAATTCAACGTAAAAATATATAAAAATTTGAATTAATCAGCAGTATCAACAAAAACAAAAAGAACAATGAAAAGGTAATATCAATTGTATATTATTTTTCTCAGATTTGTAACCATAATTTAATATCATTTCAAAAATTTCATTCTTTTTTCCAAACTATGTTTGTTTGTGAATGAAAATGTCCTTTACAAAAGGCGGAAAAGTACTAAAGAACACTAATAAATTAATACTTTTATTAATAAATTCAAATTAATCGCACAAATTATATCAATGAATATTGAAATTCATTTTGAAAAATAATTTCTAATAGAAAAGTTTTCTCCTTCAAATTCTTGCGATGTCCTTAAAAACTGCATGCATTCTTATCTACAGTGGAATTTTTGAAATTAACCACTTAATTTTGCTTGAAATTACTATGGAAATAAAAAGATTACCAGTTGAGACAGATTTCATTTCTATTTTTAAACTTTAAAATTCTTCCTGAAATTAAAATTTTTCCTGAATCAGTGCAATCTTTTATTAATTGCTAACAGCTCTAGCGTTCATTTCAGCTATTCCTCCAGTCGAAAACAGTGTAATGGATGAGAAAAATTTTTTTAATGTTTTAATGATCGAAGGAAATGTGCAGGATGAAATGGTGACGGAAGTCTTTGAAGTGGTACTTTTCCGTCTAAAACGATATTTTTGTGGTTTAAGAAAAATATTTAAAAAAATTCTGCAAACTATGATAATTGATAGAGAATGAGAAGAAGTGATAGCATTGCTGTCTACAAATAATACACTGATAAGCTAATAATTTACAAAAGTTTCCTTTTTTCTGTTAATCACTAATAAAAATTGAATTATAATAAAATTATATTTTTATAGTATTTCATCTTAAAATTTAAGTGATTTACTCTCTTTCTGCAAATGATAATATTCTCTTTTTTTTAAAAAAATATATATATATTGATCACTTCAATTACAAATTTAAAAGATAAACAATTAATGATTGTCTATCGGTGATATTAAAGGATTTTATATTCCACAAGTAAATTGGTATAAATTTATGATATTCAAAGTACGATTAGAACGAATAGCAAATCATCGATAAATGCAGCGTTACGTTTAAACGAAAGAATTTGAGAATTTTTGAAAGATAAGACGGGTTCAGGTGAACTTTTGCTGCAAAAAGTCTATGTTTCGAATTTAGCTGCAAATATTGTTTACAGAAATAAATAAACCCTTACTTCCATTATGAGTTGTATTTGAACTGATTTGCAAAGTTGTAAACACCATAAAAGTAATATATAATTGGCATAAACAAGCATTATGCATCCTTGCAACTTAAGATGAAAGATTTAAGGACTGATTTGTTTGTTTGGATACATTAATTAATTCTTAGTCAGCAATTTCAGCTATTATAACTAATCAAATATTTGAAGCTTTGTAGGATAAAAAGATTTATTAATTAACTAAATGAATAATCCAAAGTATATTACTCTTACCTTTACCTTTACCTTTACTTTTACTTTTACCTTTACATAGACTAAGGTTGAACTAATATAAAGCAGCAAATAATTCTGTAAATAAGAAAGAAATGAATAAAATGTCAGGAAAAGTGGAAAAAGTTAAATATTTAAAACAAGCATAGATGTAGAGTGAGAGAGAGAGAAAGAGAGGGAGAGAGAGGGACAGACATAGATGTAAGTAAAGCAATTGAAATATTTAAAAAAAAAAAGTGAATGAATAAGCATTCTAAAATTGAAACTGATGAAGAGAGTGAGTTATAGAAGAGAGTGAAAATTGAAATAACAGATGCATTGGCATATGGAAAAGTGATGGATTGATTTGAAATAATCTAAAAATTTTGTTTAGATAAATGTTTAGCTCAATTCTCTCCTTGAACTAATCTTTTTCTAACTTTTAGTTAATCATTTCTCTCATATGATCTAATCTAATCTCTGCTATCCATTAGCTACCAACAACAATCACTAAAACAACGATCTTCTTTCTTCTTCTTCTATAAAATAGTTGAAACAGAGAGAGAGAGAGAGAGAGAGAGAGAGAGAGAGAGAGAGAGAGAGGGAAGAATTGTGGGGAATTTAGGGGAAGAAGGAGAGATGAAATAAATGGTTTCGTATTTTGTTCATTCTGATAGCAATGAAAATAATAAATTTGATAACGAAGACGAACCTTACACAGAGAGAGAGAGAGAGAGAGAGAGGGAGAGAGAGAATATTGCCTATTTTTATTATTTTCTTTTTACTCTCTCAGAAGAAAAAAAGGAAGAAATCCTTGGCTATGATTTATTAGTTTATTGACTTCCACTTACTTTGCTTATCACCACGAATTTCTACTGTAAATGATTACTGCTCTACACTTATCACAATTCATGCAATGATAACAGCCAGATAGGAAGTAAACAGTTTACTTTTAAATTCATCTATTAAAAGCAAATAATCTTAATTACATTAAAATTTAATCATTTAACTTAAGAAGCAAACCTGAAGAAATGATCATTTTTTTGATATTATTTTGATTATTTGGGAATTAATTTCTTTTCCAAAAGTTTGTTTTCTCTCCGTTTATCTTATCTAAGCAATCTTTCACTATTTCCGGAATTTTCGTAGAATTTCTTAAATTTTGATACAACTGTTTAAAAAAAAAAAAAGAAAACAAAGAAAAAAACAAACCTGAAGATAAGATCAAATAGAATGTACATAGTAGTATCATAACAAAATAATCAAGAAAAACAACCATAGAACTGAAATATTTGTTTTTAATATATTTCTGCATCGTTTTTTTTTTTTTTTTTTAGTGCTAAATAAATTTAGTAAAATCTTTAACACTCAATCTTAATCATGACCCAGAAATTAGCACTTCAAAAAAAATAAACTATTTTATTTCAAATTTATGTTTGTAAACCTTTTCTCTCATTTAAGTTTTATGTTAAAGTATCGGACAAATGGTATTTTCCACACCTCCAAAGACACTAATTGATAGTTTGAAAATTAGTTTAGTAAGTAAAGTGCAAGGTAAGAAGTTATATAGTAAAGTATTTATGAGATCCTTTTTCAAAAAAAAAAAAAAAGAAGGAAAAAAAATTGTTGTAAGAAGCATCGAACATTGATAAAGAGATGAAAATATCAAAAAAAGAAAATTGGAAAAAACGAGCAATTTGCACTTAACTTTAAAGTTTTTCTAATTTTTTTTTTCCTTCGTTACAAATTTTAAATACTACTTACCTTTAAAATATAACTAATTTTTCAACATTTTTTCATTAAACTTTATACTTCATTGAATGACAAACTCTGATGGTTTTATTTGCATTTTCTTTTTTTTTTTTTTTTTTTGGTTTGTTGACATATTCTGTTTACAGAATAAAGCTTTATTTATTTATCGAAAAATTTCGATTCACTGTGAAATGCACAAAATAACACAAATAAATACGAATGAACAAATGAATTTAGACAGTAGCAAATGTTGCATTTCTTCTAGAAAACGTTTAAAAAGTTAGTACAATCAATTCAACTTTAAACATATTTACTTTTTGAAGTTTACAGGAAGCCATCTGAGTAATTTGACACCTTTATTGCTTACCTTTATTGCTAACAGTAAAAAAAAATTTATCAATTCTTTATAGCAATGTTAAAGTTTAAATTTTTTTCAAATTGACAGCAGCACAGTTTGTTTTTTCTTTCTAATTTCAAAATATTAAATAGCACTGATACTAAATTTTCAATTTCACTAATTTAATAATACAAAATTTAGTAATTCATACAAATTAGTAATATCACAAATAACCCATTATGACTTCATTTATTTCTCTTAGTGCAAAAGAGTAAAGTGTGAGAATAATCGATATTAATTTTTATATTTCTCGAAGTTCCGCCACAAATATGAAATAAATCTTTGATAATAAATCCAACTACACCTCAACATTCATCAGTGTCACATTTTATGTCACGTGGTATTGACGTGGCGTAGGTGATCATTTTGAATTCTATCATCAATATTTTAGCATTTCTCGTGTTTAGACATTACTGCTCTGATCTTTAGAGGATCATCCATATAAATTCACCAGACAAGGAAAGTAAAATTAATCTGTATATCTAATTAATAAATCTAAATAATTCCTCTTTCTATAAATCTAATTAATAATTCCACATTTAATTAATAACAGCTTAATTAGCTAATGAACCATCAATATTAGTTCTTTTGTTTAAATTAAATTATTTTTCACTCTATTCCAAATCTTATTCTTATTGATTATTCTAATTTGTAGAAATAAATCATTATTTTGTTCAAATAAACGTTAAAAAAATGCATAGAATCAATTGAATTAACAAATCATTGAGAATAATTTTATATGAAAAAATTATTTAAGTCACAAAAAAATTAAAAATTTTAATCAGTTTTTATCAGAAAATGATAATATTTCAAGTGATAACAGGAAGAAATCGATTTTTCTCCATTTTAATTTTCTTTACTTTTCTCTTCATTTACTTTTAAAATTATATGATTGTTAAATGAAATATGAAACGCACATCGAATATCACAGAACGAATTATTTGCGTTCTCTTTGTGATTCATCTCTTATCACCTCTTATCAGTTCATCTTTCTACACAGTAAGGATCATTAACAATTCTGTTAACGAATGATCGCTGTCTCGGATAGATGAATCATTTCATTTGATGATAAATAATTGTAT